AAAAACAGTAAAGAAAAGAAAAGAAAAGAAAAGAAAAGAAAAGAAAAGAAAAGAAAGAAAAAAAGAGAGGTCCGTTGTAATTGGAATTGGAAAAGGTGAGGGACAGAAATAGCCCGCTTCTGTTTGAAATGGGAAAAAAAAAAACAAAAAAAAGGCGGGGCCATGTGCCTTACTGAACTGCTAAAAATGGCCAGCCCGACTTTCAACTGCATTTGAAACTGGGGCCCCGACTAAAGAAACCGGTAAATAAAAAAAAGTAAAAAAACAAAAAAAAAAAGGTAAAAGCCTAAAACTCAGTTTGAAAATACAATTACAAACTGCTTTCGGTGACTGCACCGGAGTTCATGGATGGGCGGATTCAACGCATGCGGACTGAATTGCGATATGTTACACAGTCAATGCCAGCTCAGCTTGGACGTGATGCAGATATATGGCTATTCTCTGCCAACTAAGCATGAACCTGGTTCAAAAGGCGAACACATGCATGACAGCAGAACACGGAATAGCAGCAAGGCATGGGGAGCTAAGGCTTCACTCTAAGAGCGAGAGAGCGAGAGAGAGAGATGCACACAGCGGGTGAATGCAAGTCACACACACACACACACACACACACACAGAGAGAGAGAGAGAGAGAGAGAGAGAGAGAGAGAGAGAGAGAGAGAGAGAGAGAGAGATGCACACAGCGGGTGCATGCAAGATTACAACAGCCACCAAAACTAGGTGAAACATCAATACATCCATCCGTGAAGAGAGAGAGAGAGAGAGAGAGAGAGAGAGAGAGAGAGAGAGAGAGAGAGAGAGAGAGAGAGAGAGAGTATTCAAGCAAACCTACCTGACTCACACTGCTGAGAAGAATGATATCCTCCTCACCGAACAGGAGATTAGGCCGGATGTCAACAGCAACCACCTCCCACTGCACACAGCCAAGGGGAGAGGGAAGAAGAGAACCACGACGAAGATGTGTGTCAGTCCGTAGAAACATCAGATCACACCCAGATTGATTGAATGGTTGATGGCTTGATTGATTGGTTGATTGGTTGGTTGATTCGCTAATGATTGATTTGGTTGGTTGATTGATTGGTTGGTGGATTGATTCCATGGTTGATTGCTTGCTTCATTGATTGCTTGATTGCTTGTTTGATTGATTGATTGATTGATTGATTGATTGATTGCCTGATTGGTCGATTGATTGGTTGATTGACTCGTTGAATGGTTAATTGGTTGGTTTGACTGATTGGTGCATTGGTCGGTTGATTGGTTAATTGATTACTTAGTTGATTAGTTGATTGGTTGATTAATTGGTTGATTGGTTGATTGATTGATTGATTGGTTGGTTGGTTGGTTGGTTGGTTGGTTGATTGACTAAGTGATTGACTGGTTGATTGATTGGTTGATTGATTGGTTGATCGGTTGCGAGTGGTCGGTTGATTGGTTGACTGATTGGTTGGTTTCTCATCTCCGTATCTTTTCCGTATCTTCTCCGTATCTTCTCCGTATATTGTTCGTATATTCGTCGAAGATTCGTCGTATAGTCTTCGTACGTTCTGGGTTCATTCTTCGTTATCTTTTCCTCACAAACATCCTTCGTATATTCTTGTCCTCGTATCTACTTCGTATCTTCTTCGTATCTTCTTCGAATCTTCATCGGAGCTTCGATTCTTCTCCGTATCTTCTCCGTATCTTCTTCTCCGTGTCTTCTCTGTATCTTCTCGGTATCTTCTTCGAATCTTCGTGGTATTCGATATTCCTGGAGCCAGGTCCCACTAGCAAAGAAGATTGGATTTTAAGCGCCTGAATCTGGATGGTTTTTACGCAGAGATGCAGAAAAGCAGTTCAATTCCGATTTTCTGCACCTCTCCACAAACACGTCCAAATTCAGGCGTTCAATCCAATCCTCTTTTTGCTAGTGGGATCTCGCCCCTTATTCCTCGTATATATACTCTTCGTATATATTCTTTTCTTCGTATATATATTCTTCGTATATATATTCGTCGTACTATATGCTTTGTGTGACTTTTTCGTATTTTTGGTAAAACCATTTTTCGTATCTTCCTCGTATCTTCTCCGTCTATACTTTTTATCTTCTTCGTATCTTCCCGTACATTCCCCTTCGTATCGTCGTCGAATGTTCATCGCATACTCTGCGATACTTCTTTTTCTAGAAATTAGTTTTTAGAAATCTATTTTTATAATCATTATTTTTTATTTAGCTATTTTTATTATTTATATTCTTGATTTTAAACATTTGCATGGGTCCTGGAGACCATCTCACGCAAGTGTGTACATGCCATGCATCGTTCTCCCACACACAACGAACAGTAGTCTGATAATAGACAAAGGTAGAGAAGATGAGAACCGAGTTTCACA